ACTACTTTTCGGTCTTTCTGTTTAGATATATGCTGGATGTCTGCAGTTGAATTCGACTACTCATAGAAGTTATTATCGGAGAAGTACTCCGGGGAGTAACATGGGAATATCAGCCCAAACATAAACAGTCCATACATATCAAAGGAGTGATTCAGAATATAGCACACGATAAGTCATAAAATGTAGGACATAACAGAGTAAACATACTTCCAAATCCAGCCGGGTATATAAAGGAGAGGCATGAAACGTAAATATAGATCTCAATCTCCCATATCCATATATCCACTCGACGCAGTGAATCCATATCCCATATTATTCCTCCACTCTCTCCCGTCCGACTGTATTCAACCTCGTAATGTCATCATGTCATGGGATGCTCACAGCCAAGCAAGGAAGCCTAGTCCGACAACAGCAGCCAAGGAAGCAGCCTTGGGGGTTGAATATGCAGACGCCGCATTGTCGGTGTTCTGGGCGCTAGTCGCAGTGTTGGTGTTACTCGCCAAATTGCTGTTGGAAATACCCGAGGAACCACCCGAGGAACCACCATTCGTGGAGTCGGCGATGCCGGTTGGGGTTGCAGTTGGGGTTGTATCGGTGGCATCGGTGCTTGCGGAGCTAACGGCGGACGCTGCGGCAGTTGGGTTGTAGCTGGTTGTTGACAGGGAGCAAGACCTGAGGATATCGTAGGCATCTGGACAGCGTCGGATGTTAGCTATTTGGACCTTGAGAGAGCAGGAAGGATTGTATACCGTTGTGGTGGGGGTCGCGGTCATCATCATCATCGTCATCATCATGGTCCCTGTTGTTGCGCTCGCTGCGATACTCCGCGATACAGGCCTCGCAGAGAGGGATCAAGGTTGGTGCGTGATGCCAGTCGCAGATACACTTCATTTCGGCGCGGTCACTCTCGTGTATATTGTCGCATTTGTGCGCGATCCCTACCACCGGGCCGCAGACTCTCCAGCAGCGATTGGGCACGTCGTCGTGGTCCAGCTCGGCGCCCATGGCGACGTTGCTCATGAGCATGAGGCCGGATAGAGCGAGCAATTGGGCGGTACGCATTGTGGACTCGTTCAACGATGACACGAAGTAGATGTTTAGGGGTATAAAGAGTTCCGAATGTAGTTGGATTCCGTCGTCGCGATGCAATTGAAATCGAAGCTGATGCTGCTATGAGCAATTGGAGGCGGACGAGGACGCATATTTATGGCCATTTCAATCGCGTCGCAAAATTTCTATATATAAGGATCTCGTTGCCCGAAACTAGAGCTTGCCCAGACGGGAAGTTCTCCGCATGCACCATACATCGCTGTTCCATCACTTGGGATGCTAGCGATCTGCCTTCAATGAGAGCTGTTGAAACTCTAAGCCTCCTTCGGGCGACATATGCCAAGCACGGCTGGCGTGGAAATCGGGTGCAACCCGCTGATCAACGTATGAATATCACCAATATGTTGACAGGGAACGAAGCTGCCTGGAACAAAGAGGAAAGAAGATTATGGGTTCGGAGAGCTGCCAAGAAGCGGTTTGTTCATCGCTACCAGACTTGTCTGCGGGGAATGTCATTCTATTCTTCTGCACTTTCACCGCCACACTGGACCCTGGTTTTAGGCTGGGCTTTGTATATGTGGATCCTCCGTATGCTAGGGAGGAGCAATATTTTTTGACTCGGCGATTATTGTTGAATCACTTCTTCAAGAAGCTGTTGTGGAATACTTTACGGAGTACTCCGTAGTTCGATGTTTCCAGAGAATGTTCGGTCGATGATGTCACTCGCTGTTTGCCTCGTCATCCGTACTGGGATCTAGGAACATGGACAACTCCGAAAACGAGGAAAGTCAGACTGACAAAGAATACAAGATGGATGATCCTCGCTTGGCACTCAATTGATCCTGTCCAGAGAAGATCAGGCAATAGCATTACCGAACATGCTCTTCAACGGATGGAATTGCCGAGTTCCTGCACAGCCTCCCCGCTATATATAGTTGATCGGAGGGTACCGATGACTTTGACAACACAGTATCACGGCCAGTGAACGACAAGATAAATGTGCTGCCTGTACCTATCCTGCACATTGCAACTTGAAGTACACGGGTATATACCATACCCACAAGTCGTATGCTATTCATAGCTCAAATAGCCGAAAGTGCTGTACTTGGTGGATGTTGTCTGGAAGTAGGGTTACACTGGAGCACTGGACAACGACCTTGATGCGTGTCCGGATGGTTATCTATTTGGGGAAACATGTACACTGTGCAGGGAAGATCCTTATTTCTATCAGTTAAACGCATGACTTGAGTCATCTGATATTTATTTGGCCGAGGAGGTCGGGATTGACCCGACTCGAGACAGGAAGAATCTATGATACACTACAGGTCATTGCCATGTTTTGCTATAGAGCGCCCTCCATGCAACATCATTGTGTTCTAATAATGGCTGGGGACAAGTAGTTAAACGGGCTTTTTATATGCCTTTACTGTTATAGGGGAATAGATCCAGAACAAAAGCACAACCTCTTGCATTACCAAGGCGATATCCTTACGTGAAAGTTGTGGTTGTAGGAGGGGTTGACCTGTGACGTCTTCCCCCCTCTTATGAAATGTCAGAACACCGGCTTCTTGCAAACATATCATTGGCCAATGTACTCCGAGTGGGCTAGTCACCCATGTTCTCCACCTTGACATACATCACTACGTTCATGCTGATTGATCTAACAATCCTCCAAGGTATAACTCTTCTGCGCTCTGGTGAGACTCATTGTCAGAATGGCTCGCTCCGCCATGCCCAAGATATCCTGGGATAGACATCTCCTACGTTCGGTGCAGAACGCGCCTCCTGCGACTCTACCAGTCTTCATCTACGGCACTGCATGGAAGAAAGATCGAACAACAGATCTAGTGTATCAGGCTCTCAACGCTGGCTTCCGGGCCGTAGACACGGCGGCCCAGCCGAAGCATTACCGGGAAGATTTGGTAGGCGAGGGCATACGCAGGGCTATCCGGGACGGAGCGATCCGACGAGAGGATCTCCATGTAAGTCAAACGTAATGTCGATAGTAAACCAAGATGTTCACCCGGCTGACCATGGTTAGATCCAAACCAAATTCACATCTATCCATGGGCAAAACCCCGATGAGATGCCCTATGATCCCAATTCCTCGGTGACGGAACAAGTCCACGCTTCTATCAAATCATCCCTAGAGCATCTTCGTACATCTGACACCCCGGAAAGCGTCAACGAAGCGTACATCGATATGCTCGTCCTTCACTCCCCACTTCCGACAATGTCTCAGACATTGGAGGCCTGGTCCACGTTTGAGACTTACGTCCCTCATCGAATCCGAAACTTGGGCATATCCAATTGCACCTTGCCTCAGCTTAGGGAACTATCCGCACTGGTCAAAGTGAAACCAGCGGTTGTCCAGAATCGCTTTTATGGGGGCACGCAATTCGATGTTCCGTTGCGCTCATATTGCCGGGATAACGACATTATTTACCAGAGTTTCTGGACACTGACAGCGAATCCAGAGTTAGTTCAATCGGATGCAATCCAATTGTTAGCAAGTCGCACAGAAATCAGCCCCGCCGCCGCTCTATATTGCCTCGTTTTAGCTCTGGGGAACACCACTTTATTGAACGGGACGAGTAATCGGGGCCGTATGGAAGCGGATTTAGCTGCTCCTGCAAGGGTAGAGAGGTTCTCCCAAGAACACCCGGAAGTATGGCAGAGGGTGCTTGAGAACTTCCAGCAACTGACTGGGGATCGGGTCGCACTCTAATGAAGCAGTGTTCCCTTCGCGTGCCTTACATTAGGGTTGATCCCGTTATCAGTGGTCAAAGCGTATCCAGGCTCCGACGACAATCCATGGAATCTAGTGGAAGGTCAATGAAGCATCTAGAGCGGACAAAAATGGTAGCACATGAAGTTTTGCAAAAAAAATAAGGACGATACCACGGTATGGCCGTGCAAGATGATTGGCCATATTCATATGAGTGGATCGGTGGGCATGCCGCGTTTAACTAAAGTAGTAGGCGTTAAGGGAAACAAGGCAATCCGAAACGATCAGCATCAGAACAGGTGAATTTGTCCACATCCCATAGCTCAGGTAGAAAGGTAGCGATATACCTGGAGTAGACACACCGTATCACAATCGTTTTCGCCCGTCAGCCCTAGTCAGAACACGTTTGGTCAGCACTTCTGGCTGACTCATCCTCTCTAACCAATCAGGGTCCGCCGTGGGACCATTGACCTCATCGTCACCGCCAAGCATCTCGACGGTAGCGGAGAGAAGATTTACCAGACGCAGGCCATCTTCAGCCATCGCCATTCATCAAACGCGAGTTGTTCTGAATCACTTGGATTCGGTAACTCTTGCTTGTGTCACTGCTGCACCTCACTATATTGTTTGTCTTCTCGACTTTGCGGGACGGGCGGATTTGTGCTTTTTTTTCTTTTTGCTTATTCCCTTACCTTGCGCCAGTGCGAGCCCTCCACCCATCCGCCGCAGCGCCCGTTCCTGAGAAGACGCCGCTTATAAGCCCTCGTCACACATATACCTCGCAACAGTGTTAAGCAATTGCCCTGCTCCTTCCTCGCCGCTCATCTTAGCTGGGTCTGTCGCGATCTTGCTATCCGATTGACTTCGACCTTCTTGATAGTGAGATTTTATCGCCCCGCGTGTCGCGTCCCAATATCGATATATCGGCCCGTTGCCGTAGACCTTCTTTCCAAGCGTTTGTCGGTTCAGCCTGAGTGACACCTATTCAAACGGAAGCTCTATTAACAATTCTCTACGCTGTTATTATTACATTCAGTCTCGAGCCGCGTCGCGCCATACGAGTTCCCCGCCATAGCCTAGCCTTGGCTGGCAAGCCCATTGAAGAACACCCTCTTGACTAGATATCGGATTTTGCCGCATTTCTACGCAATCTCAACACACGAATCCTATATTGAAGAAAAGACCTACCCTTGACTGGCCAGATATCGCTATACCGTCTGCGATGAGTCCTCAAGGCATGACTCGCAAAAGGCCTGCTCCTGGCACATCTCCAATCGCTCATCCACAATTAGGCCCGATCTCCAACTATCCGCAACCCTCTAACACTCAGCTCTCAAACGACCAGTTCTTGCAATGGGGCCAGAACACTTCCTCGAATGTTGTCAGCCCATCTTCCTTTTCTGATGCGAATCCTTATGGCGCTACAGCATATTCGGCAGGTCAAGACGTGCCGGCACCTACAGCTACTGCATCTACACAACTCGCACGTAGACAGACACCAAATCAACTAGTCAGCCGGAATCGCGGATATGAACAGACACCGACCCCCTTGTCTGACCATGGGAGTAATACTGGAGAGCCTGGGGGGTGGGGGGAAAGCTTAGATGAGCTCTACCAGCGGGCGTGGTTGCGAAAAGGGAGGTGCAGGCCAAGAGGAAGCAGATCCCCCCATTCGTTCAGAAGCTAAGCAGGTATGGTCTAAGCGACGTAGAAATTGAAGTGATGATCGATGGCTAACGAATACCTCCAGTTTCCTGGACGAGTCTAAGAACACAGACCTCATTCGGTGGTCCGATGACGGAAACTCCTTTATCGTGTTAGACGAGGACGAGTTCGCAAAGACCCTGATCCCTGAACTTTTCAAGCATAACAACTACGCTTCCTTTGTCCGCCAGTTGAACATGTACGGGTTTCATAAGAAGGTGGGGCTCTCGGATAATTCGATGCGCGCCAGTGAACGAAAGAATAAGAGCCCTAGCGAGTATGCCAACCCATACTTCAAGCGTGGCCACCCCGATTTGCTGTGGTTGATACAGAAACCTAAGAACACGGGAGGGCAAGGGAATAAGTCAGGAAAGTCCAATATACGCGTTAAAACTGAAGAGGTGGATGAACACGAGAATGATGATTACGATGATGTCCCTGGTGCACGAGACGACCGATCCCGGAACCGACAATTATCTCTAGTCCAAGGAGGGAATATTATGCCGAAAGATCAACTCGCGGGGGTTTACCGGGAGTTGCAGGCTATTCGGCAGCAACAGCAGGTCATCTCCAACACAATTACCAAGCTACGGAGAGAACACGAGCAACTCTACGCGCAGGCCGCCAATTTCCAGGAGCAGCACACTCGGCACGAGAATTCGATCAATGCGATTCTCACTTTTCTGGCGACTGTCTATAATCGCAGCCTTCAGGGACAGGAAGGGCCTCAAAACCTCGCCAACTCTTTTGCTGGAGCGATCTCTCAGGATCAAGGCAATGTAGTCGACATGGGAGATGACTATTCGCTGAGCACCTTAGGTGCTCAGCATATGAACAGCCCTGGAGGACCGCGAGCAATGAAGAAGCAACCCCTGCTTCTCAAAGCTGCGCCATCAGAACGACAGAGCCGCGCAACAACCCTCTCACCAGCCGCCAGTGCGTATGAGGGTCCACAACCGCGGGGTCATACTCGCCAGCCGAGTGCCCCCCAACACGGTCATATTGAAGAGGTCTTTGATAGCAGTCCCCGGCCGAAAGAGACGCAACCGCCCCAAACCGAACAGTTTCCTCAGCGGGATATCATGTCCGTAATTCAGAATAGCAATGCGCGAAATGGAGGCCCGCCCACAAGCTTTGCGGACTTTCCCAATGTATTGTCGTCGCTGGAAACGTCAAATGGCAACGTTCCTCTTACTCCCAATCAGCGCGCGGATATGCTCCGTCTCATGGCCAATGAGACTAGCACGGGTGACTCCAATGTACCTGTGTCACAGAACAATGCCCTAATAACCCCCACACCACCGCCAATGCCTCTCGGTTATTCGAATCGTCTTGCGAGCACCCGCGCGGAGATTGACAACCTCGTGAAAATGCAAGCTGAACAAGATCGTTCAGTTCAGAATTTAACAAACCTTCTACAGCCGCTCAGCCCAACAGGGACAATCCCGGGCATGGTAACAGGCGATGGAAGTGTTCCTCCTCCCCCGCTAGACCTCGATCAGATTTTCAATAATGACTACTTCACGGACATCGCGGATCTTGAGCATAATAAAAACAACTTGGACTTTGGAAACACCACGACTGCGGTACCCGCTACGGCACCAAGCGAACCTGTCACGACAGGTGCAGATGATAGCGTAATCAAAGATGGAAACGACTTGTTTGATTTTGACCATATCCCTGATAACGGCGATCTATTCGAGGGACCGGACCAACAGCAACAGAACCCCGGTTTCTATAACGGCTACGATGGCAGTGGCTTTAATAATACGATAAATCCGGGTGCTGGCAGAATCATCGAAACTCTTACCGATAGCGAAGCGACCAGCCCAAGTAACACCGTGGACGAGCCCGCACAATATGGCGTCCCTAACGGGGGCAAAGATCTCCAGGGAGGTAAGGGAATCGGCGGTAGCGCGAAGCGGCGCAAGAAGGCTTAATGTTGTTAATATACCATACTAACGGGGTTGTGCGTCTGCAACAAAGAAAGGGAAACCACTCTGAAGAAGCGAAAGACGTGAAATACGACAATCCATTGGGAGTTTCGACCTCAAACCACTATCAATTTCCTTTGTTCCATTCTCGTTCCCTACCCACTCGAAGCGAATAAACGAGGCATCATTGGGTCAAAAAGGTACTAATCGAGTCCCGTATATTCATCCTTACCTCTCGTCAAAGCGATTCGGTCCTAATACGAGACAGACCGGTTTTCGGTCTCTTGGTCTGAATTCCGATGACGCGCGCGACTAGTCAATATTCTCTTACATATACAAGCAGCCTACAACTGGACTTTCACTAAGGACGGTGATTCTTGCAGATCCGTCTTGGGATGTGAGTCGATCGGTATCTGAAATGAGTCCGGTCTTCTCTTTCGACAACACTACGAATAAAGGGCGTTAGGATTCGGCGGGACAACCAAAAAAGAGTAAAGGGAGATATGAGCATGGGAAGGAGTCCCACGTGGAGTGTCGTTCGTTCTTACACCGCTGTTGAGATACTTATCTTCTGGCCGTGGTGCGCCACAAGGACCTCCCCCATGATCTCGTTCTAATCATCCTTATCACCTGTTTTAATGACTTGAGTACATAGTTATGACTGAGCTTCCAGCTATGACCTGTTTGTCGATGCTTATTGATGTACATGCATTGTTTTTCCACGAGGTATTAAAATGCCTTCACTGTTGTTAACTTTGTACGTACTCCTGCAAAGCTAAACAATGTCTCGAGATATATAGATCTACACCATGGCATGAAGACTATTCTATGGTTTCAAAGTACATACGTAGTCATTCATATACAGTAAACTATTTCCCTCTCCGTGCCTTGTCCCATTCCAGGTTGCCTGCACGCTCACGCTTCCTATCTCGCTCCCGATCTCTCTCAAGCCCTCTCCGTTTCCCGCCAACGTATTCCTTCTCCTTCTCCCGCGGATCAATCACCATAAGCGAGTCCGCATCGTCCGGATGCTCCCGTTTCCAGTTCAAATCCTTCCCAAGCGTATCCTTGCCAAAGCGCAACTCATGCGTCAACCAGCCCTCCTCATCCTCCGCCGCCGCACCTGCCTTTCCGCCCTCCGCGGTTTGATCATCATCCCATGATTGACACGATTGGCAATTCGCGATAAAATGAAGATCACAGAGCTGGGCCTCCTCGTCATCCGCTTCCTGCGTCTCAGTCGAAGGTTTGGCATCCTGGGCTGTGGTTTTGTGGGTGGGTGCGGACGTGGACTCAGCATTTTCAAGCTTGGCCTTGAACGCATTGAAGAGTTTGAGTGTTTCGTTGTCCGCTGAGCTGAACCCTGTTATCCCGTTTGAGCCGTTGGTTGACACCGATGTGCCCGGCGGCGGGCGTCTGCGGCCCCGGATCGCCGTCTCCGGGATCATGGCCTCCAAGGCGGACTTCTTGGGCCCTGTATCCGCCGGGCCAGTGTGTGCAGTCCTGCGCATGGAGGCCTTGAGATTCTCGATTTCGGCATTGGTGCGCGAGAGGAAGGATTGCTTCGGCGCTTCTGGTTCGGGGGAGCGGTCTGGCGATTCGGGTTTGGGGAGGGGGAGCTGGGTCTCTGGTTCTGGGGTTTTGGGGCGATGCTTGGGCTCTGGGGAGGGGGAGCGCGGGCGTTCTTCGTTGATTTCTGTTCTTGGGCCGGTTTGTGGGACTCGGGGATGTTTGTATCCGTGACCAGGCTGGAGTTGAACTTCGGTTTCGCAGGTCGAATGGGCATATCTTCATCGCCGTCGCCGTCATCGCCGAAGCTCAGGAGTGTCTTGCCACCCTTATTCTTCTTCTTCTTTTTCGGCGCGGGCTTATCCTCCGTCCTTGCCGTTCGCGTCGCCGTGATCTGGCGCTTCTTGATCTTCCCAGCCAGCGGACCCAACTCCCCGATCTCGCAGGAGGTGATCTTCACCGGGTACACAGGCCGCTCCGTCCCCTCGACCCGCTCGGCCTCTGCAATCTTCACCATATTGTAGATACTGTCGCCCTCGATGCGCCCGAAAAGCGTACACTGCCCGTTCAGCTCGCGCTCCGTATTCCCCAGCGTAATGAAGAACTGGCTCCCGTAGCTCCCATCCTCGCTCTTCGCCATCCCCACCAGCCCGCGCCGGTTATACCGCAGCCGACTGTGCAGCTCATCGCGGAGCACGACCTTCTCGTTCGGGTCCCGCGCCTCCGGGTCGTACTCGAACTCCGGGTCCTCGTAGATCGATGTGCCCCCCGAGCCTGTGCCCGTCGGGTCGCCGCCCTGGATGATGAAGCCGGGCACCACGCGGTGAAAGATCGTGTCGGCGTAGTAGCCGTCCTGGCAGTGTTGGAGGAAATTCCGGCATGTGAGGGGGGTTTGCGTGGCGAAGAGGGAGATGTGCAGGGGCCCGAAGGTTGTGTTTAGGGTTGCTGAGGCGGTCGGGTTTGGTTCTGTGGTGTAATGGGCGGACATTTTGAGGGTTTAGGTGGTGGTTGTGGTTGTGGTTGGGTGTTTGCGCGTTTGGTTGGAGCTGGAGCTCCGTGACGGGTGGGTTCAGTTGGGGGGTGCGAGGATCGTGTGTTAGATGGTGAGGTTATTATGTGCGATTCGCATTATCGGGAGACCTCCACGGAGTAAGTGCTGCGTGGGGTTTTGGGGTGAGGGCGATTGCGGTCGAGGGAGAGAGGATGTGTCTCGGCGGATGTCGAAGCTTTTCGGGGAAAATTCATTTGATAAATTGATGTGGTCACGTCATGTCACGGCCGCTTTTGTTTTCTGGATATTTACAACTTTGGTTTCTACATACTTGCCAGACACAGTTGAGATCCGCTGTATGTGTTTGAACTGGGTACTTGGATTTCTTTTACTGGTTCTTATGGTGGAAGATATTAAGCTAATTTAGTAAACTACTTAACGGCGTGTTTAATGGGTTGAGAATAGTAGCTCCCATTGTTAAGCGCAACTTTTACTATCTAGTCACTGCTAGTGAATGATACTGTACTGTGTTTGTGTTCAGATTATTCCATTTGTTCTAGGAGGAGTATAATATAAAATGACAGTCGTTAATCAAAAGTGCCGTAAACGTCTTCGTAACATTGGTATATATCAGGGCAACTGTATAGCAGGTCAGCCAAAAGGAACCGATACAAAAAGATAAGAGAGGCCTACTAGACGGGATCCTGCCCGAATATTATATGCCACATATACTCCATGACTCGTCCACTGACGTCGTCTGGCAGTTCAGTCTCCATAAGCCATTGGTGGTATCGCACATAATCGCTCAATGGGCGCTGCAGCACCTGCGTTCTCGACACCGCAAATTGCGCGCAACAGGGGGTCGCGATGACCTCTGGGACATCGGTATTGTTGAAGAACGTCTGCCAAACTTCAGGGAACACCTGCTCCGGCAGGTGCTCTTCGTCGCTTGATCCGCGAAATGGGCGGATCTCGTCAGGACAGCCCGGGTTGGGGTTACAGCGTAGGTTTGCGTAACCGTTGCGCTGAACGAAATCTATCTGCAACATCCGGGCGGTTCGCACATTGCTGTGGTCGGAAAATTCCGTGTGCCAGGCTCTTGGATAGCCGTCCCGGTGGCTGTGCAGGAAGACGATGGTTGATGGGAGGTCATCGTAATTGTCGATTATGTATTGCAGGTACACACTCGCTTCTTTTCCTTTGTTCTTGGCTACATGGAGGGGTGCTTCTGGGTCATCCACTGCGTAGATCGCGTGCTGCCAGCTGTGTTGATGCGTTAGCTCCGCCGGCTATACATCCAGGGTGTATGCCTTACCTGGGTAACTCGTTTACTATCCAGTCCGTGTCATCCTCTTTCGTTTTCCCAGCAACAATAACGCGATCGATTGCTGTGATTTTGATCTGGGGGTGTTCCTGATTGTTAGACGGCTCAGCTCCACTGTGCCGTGAGGGCAACAAATCGGTGATACTTGGTCGCTTTTTCCTGGTGGTTGGGGTATTTCGAGAAGTGGTGGGAGTTGGGGCAGCCGTTGTGTATCCCAATTTGATCCCATTATGCCAACGAGACAACTGGTGAATTTCCAACGACGGGGTACTGAAGCGTCTCGCGAGCCACACAATGAAGTAGAGCAGCAGAACCGCGATGCTAAGACGCTCGATTTGGCGCATCCTGAGCTCGATTCAGGTCTTGTTCATTGCGCCACGATCTAAGTACGAATAGCTGTTGGGCTATTCAAGTCTCCGGTCGTCGGGTGCCATGACAATGATTAAGTGAAAACGCATCAAGTGAAAGAGGGAGCAGGGGTCTCAGCCCTTTATCCAGGGCCGAGAATCACTGAATCATTCTTTCTTCCCAACACCCAATGACGTGCACGGAGTCAAGGCTGGATAGCCCCAGCGTACCATTTGCAGGAACAGCTTGCCGGGCACGAGACTGGTGATGTAATGTTGAGCCGACAAAGGAAGTTAGGTGGTATTACCACTTCAGACCGCTAGGCCTCAAAGAATTTTGCATTCTGAATATCACAAAACAAAGAGATACCAAACTCATGCAGAACGACTCAATCTCTGCTGAACGATCTTCACGATCTCCCTCCATTCCATCATCCCGCCGGACCCCACATCACCACACGCGAGCGATTTCTCAATGGGCCGGAGGACTTCAAACCAGCCTTGCACATTCCCATTGATTTCTTTAACCCCCCAATCTTCTTCCAGGACGCGCATCTGCTGTGCGGTCACAGGATGCATCCACATTGCTGTGTTCATCGCGGGAGCGACAAGTATCCGTTTCTTTCTCCCGTCGATCAACCCCGTCGTGTCCCATGCGCGTACAACGCTCGTAAGTAGATTGTCAGACATCCCGTGGACCACTTTCGCCAGTGAATTTGCGCTCAGTGGGGCGATAACTAGTAAATGAGCCCATCTACGGAGGGTGATGTGTAGTATGTCTGAGCCTCGTGTCCAAGGCTCGGTCCATTCATCCTCATCATGGAGGACCGAGCCGACATTGGGAAGCGATGAGAGGGACTCTACCGAGGGCTGCTCCTCAGACTGAGCACGAAGGAACTCAGCGGCAGCTTTGGTAAGAATCACCCGGATTGAGATATTCGGATGGTCTGCGAATGCCGCAATGATAAGCGGTAGCTTTATCGTGGCAACGGAACCTGTTGCGGCCAGAAGTAGATGCACCTTGCCATCGTTGAGTGACGCGGCAATCTCTGCTGCTGGTGACTTTTTTGTTGCCATGATGGTGATGGGTGTGTATTGTTTTTAAGTCTAGTTGGGAGAAGGTTGATGTGATCGGCAAGTAACGGGCGAGATGGTTATATATTTCTAATCCAATCCGAGAGGTTCTTGCGCTAGCGGCTATTATATAGAGTTAACCTACTATAGAGAAGCATGCTCGACTTGAGATACGCTCGCACGCAAAGGATAGGGCTCTTCTTGCTTTGTTATCTTTATACCAGATATACTGAGCAACCTGTCTTAATAACAAGTTTGCCCTACGGCTTGCGATCGAATATGATCCATGCAAAGCATGTTCATACAGGGCAGTATCAGGTCTTTTTTTGTTGTAGGATTATATAGCCAAAATGGAAAGCGTTCTTCAACAAGTAGCCGGGCTAGCTCAATCGGTAGAGCGTGAGACTCTTAGTCGTCACGGTATCTCAAGGTTGCGGGTTCGACCCCCGCGTTCGGCTTCACTTTTTTGTGTTTTGTTTTCCTTTTTTAAACATTTTCCTGCTGGTAAAGAACGTTCAAAGTACGCATTGGCGATGCACCGTACTACCGGAGCAAACCAATAACCCTGGTTATCCAATTTTGCATTTGGAATTGCATACTTGCATTACATTCATCTTATCACCGACTGGCCCAGAAGTGGATCAATACGACCAGTATAAAAGACTGCGGACCTCCTACCCAAAGCTAATGATATAACAATGTTCTTGCTACTCATCATAGCGTTTGGTTAAGTGCATATATCTCTATAACAACTGTTTTATGTTGGTGTTATTCATCTCCATCAGCTCAACCAAATCGGCATCCATATCCCTTGGCTCATCGAAGCCACAATTGTATATCTCTCTTATCATTTCCAGACTCAGACACCACTCTTTCAATCGGTGTTCATCCCAAAATAAGAATCCCCAATTGCGCAAGGCATTATGACCATACATCCCAAGAGATATGGATGCATCTTCTTCGGTCGTACTCAAACACCAGGTCCAGGCCAAGTTGGGACTATTCCAGTCCGTATCTGATAGGAAGACCCTGCCACTCGTGCCTTCATCACCGAAGTCTATGTCATACTCCTCTTTACGGGTGGTGCGGTTAGCGTCCAAAGCATTAGCTATGAAGTCTACTGCCCCGTTCAAAGTGCCACGGAGTATGGCCTTCTGCTTGAGCAAACGTTCTTCTCGACAGGCTATGCTGGACACATGCATCCAGTGATAAAGAAACCCCAACCCCAGAGAAACGTAATGATCTCTGTGGTCGTCATCGATCTCTAGATCAGCCAAGTTAGCAAGGTTACATTACATTCTCTGGTTGTTATGGGTTATACCGTGATCATAAAGGTGGGATAATGGATCTTCATTCTCATCGGGAAAGAGCTCACACCAATCGTCGAAATTGGTCGCTCCAGGCAGTTCTTCATATACGCGAAAGATATACATCAGGACACATCGGATTTCTTCCATTTCCCATGGTGCGAATAAACTGAGGAATAGATCCCATTGGGCATCAGAGTCGACATATATATCGTTAAGCCGATCTTGCCCTTCGGACCATGGAAGCCCGTTGCTGCTGAACAAGAGCTGGTGAATTTCTAGCCGGTAGATTGCTCGTTGCATCCGAAATGTTTCTGGTGGTGATAATGCAGTATCCTCCCCCTTTGGCTTTTGGGTATCTGACCTAAGCCCGAAGAAGGAGTGGACCATATCTTTTAAGATGAACTCCACTATAGTATGAAGTCGAGCCATTTCAAGTAGATCGTCTTCCGTCAAAGAGGCAAACACTTGATAAACGTCCAGCTCCTGATCCAGGTATTCGTCTGCAGAATAGGGGTATAGGGAATTCAGTATTGAACGCAGGGGAACGTATTTTCTCAGAAACTCCTCAGCTGCCTCTAGAGCAGGCTTCGGGGCTTTGCATCGGTCCTGCCGCCCGCGTAAGGCGATCAGCGCAGCAACTGCATCGACCATGACGGGCAGTTGGAGGCATCTTGCAAGGACGGTTGACAGTAGTTGTTTGCGCTGGGACAGATACAACGCATGGAAGCAGGGAGAGGCATGGACTAATGCATTCAGGGAGGCAAGGTCTGGGATAGCATACAAAACGGCTGCTTTCATTTCGGGAGGCAGGGCCTCTAGTGTGACTGGTTCCAGTCTCAGAGCGAACGATGGGATCAAAGCATATAGAAGACGAGAGGGAGACGTATTTTATGTGACATTCAAGCGCCAAGAACCCGCTCTGTGAAACACCGCTCGAGACCTACTTGACTCTGGAACAATTAGGTCCCTTCGTGATCTAGCGTTTGGAAATGAATATCGTGTTACAGCCAAATTCCCGCTCTGCCACTGCAAGGTCCCGTCGACACAAGCTATGTTTGTCTATCCTACCCAATTTATTGTTCCATGGTTTCGAAGATCATCGGTAGTATCGGTGACACTTTACTTACAAGCACTGTAACACTGGAGAGAGTAACAAGGGCAGGTTCGGCGTTCATGACAAATTAGACTCTCACTTGTGTTGCCTCAACGAGTTCAGGTGGCTTTGTTTGCTAATCTATAGACTCTAACGTATACTAGCTCAAGATCAGAGGATAGCAGCTAGGTGGCTAGGAGTGTTTGTGGTCAATATCAAAAATGTCTCCCGGCGCTTCGACAAACATCCTCCAAGGCAACGACATGTCTAAGCTCGCCATGTCTTTGATATAGAGCGTGCTGCACGTTTGCTTTGGCTGCTAGATGTCTATATATATATCCCTTCAAATCCCATTAATCTCTCTACCTTCACAAACCCAAACCGATTATTTTTCCATTAATATTCTTTTCTTCCACAGAAACAGCAACGCAAACCTCTCCAGCGTATGAACCATGCCACACTGGACTGAACACCATCAACGTGGCTACGATGCTTACTATGCTCGTAAGACCGAGAATATGGTCTATGTGGCGCTTGTCTAGGACCTTCTCCAAGTTCTGGTAAAATGCAGTAGCGTGTTTCATCTCGTGCGCCTTGGGCTTTTGAGCCTCCAAGACCTTGGCCATCATGAGATGAGCTGAGTGGACCGCCATGTTGTTGGTTGCCTCGGTTCACTTGTTTGACCTGAGATTGATGATTTTTGAACACTAGAGAACAATTGGATACAAACTTTTATATACTTGCACCTTGCACATCGCAAAGCCCAGAGCGGCGACGGCACAGACTCAGGGCTAAGACGGACTGACGGGGAAAGGGAACGCCGTCGACACAGCCCTGAGGAAGACGGGTTCAGCACCGTTAACAGCAGGAAGACCGAGTTCGCCCAGAAGTATTGCACGGTGGAGGCTGAAAAGTCATTCTGAATACTCTGCGGCGAATTAGACCCATTATGCAGATTCTCAGGGGTTTTCTACCGGAAGGGATATAAGGGAAACCGTAGTCTCCAGGGCATGCGTGACGGCGTACAATGAGAGGGATAAGAAGGCGAGGTAGAATCCCACGCTTTTGCCTCGAGTAGGCTGGGACATGGCAAGACCCCGCTGGTTCTAATATGAAGGAGGCTAGGAAATCAGCAACAAAGCAAGGACGCTGGCTACAAAAGTATTTATGGATCCGATCCGTATCAAACAAAGAGCGGCTTCCGCTCCCGATGGTACTCGGCGAGTCAGGGGCCAACTCACGAAAGTACGATGTAACCCCTGTGCATAAACGCAAATTTACCCCTCTACCTGACACTAACGTTGACCACGACTCTCCTGCACCTCAGTCGACTCCAGAATGAACGCTATCGACTCGGCAGATTCTTTCTGGGGCTCTTCAACTTCGAGGGCCAAGTCAGTATACCATCTTGCGCGTTTCTTCAGTTGCTGACCCCAACAAAGCTTCTGCGAGATTGACTACGCTGTGAGCAGATACATCGCCGAGTTTGTCAACAGCTTGACGAATGTTGTCTACAGTAAGATCCCGGAAGGTATGTGAAATTATGATCTAATTTCTCTTCATCAGTAATATACGGCCTGTACGGGTTGCGCCAGCTGCGACGGAAAGCAGACAAACATGGTGATTCTTTACGTGCCCTTCCCTACTGGGGCTTAATAGCGGTCGGTCTGTGTTCATTTGCATTCCACCTCAGCCTCAAGTACCACACCCAGATGAGTACGTGCCGCGTCGTTCCCACATCAGCGACTATCTGGCTCATTCCTCCCTCCTCCCTCCATCAGTGGACGATCTCTCGATGCATTTTGCCTCAACCCCGGTCCTCCATCGCGTCTTGACAGCCAATTCGAATCGCCGAGACTCTATCGTCGTGGCTATCGTACTTGCTTCCATGCTGCTCTTCCTGGTAACATTCCATGTGATAACCGATGAGCTGGTACTCCACTCCGTGTCCTTTGTCGGCACGGTGACCGTTATTGGAGCTCACACTATACGTCTCGTCAATAGCCGGACGCTGCCCGGCTCAGCTGCCCGGCGACAGATCTGGGGAATGGTTCGGTTTGGAGCAAGTCGGTGATCTCATTGTACGGTGACATTCCAAGAGACTAACTGGCGTTGACAGCGATTTTCAACCTGGGGTATTGGCTTTGGCTGATTGATCAGTGGGCCTGCGGATTCTTGACAAGAGCGCGAGAGACAATAGGTCTTCCCTGGGCTTTTGCATTAGAGCTTCACGGGTGGTGCGTTTCAGAAATCTTCCGTGTTTTTCTTCCCCATGACGCTAAACGCATTGACATAGGTGGCATATCTATACTGGAATCGGGGCCTATATCTTTATCGCTGTGGTAGATCACCTTGTCGCCGGCGAGGATCTAAGAGATATCCAACAGTCATTCGCCTGGCCAGCTTCCTGGGCGTCGACATCAGTTTTCACAGGACGAGAATCGGCCGTAGACAAGGACGTCAGCGAGAAACAAAAATGAAATCATAACTAATTTTATAAGGAGCCCCTAGGTTAGGGGCCACTCATAAATATTAAGCCTTTCCGAACCCCTCTCGCAAGATTGTCGGTGTTGATATTTCCAGCCGATGCGTCGAACAAGGCCTGCTGGTCCTCGCCATGGTCTTTTGGCGAGAGATGAAGCAAGGTGGTTACACGCTGAAATTGTGCTCGTATCCACGCCTGCTGCCCAGGCCTGAGAAAGCTTGCTAGTAACTGGCCGTTGCCTTCCGAGAAGAGGGTCAATAAGTGGCTCAGCGGACTCATTATGTGCCAAGGACCTTGGGCGATAATAGGGTACCTGTGGTCGTCTCTGCATCTTCCGGCATCGTGGTCCTTCGTATTCAAGCTCTTTTTACCCTCCGGTGCTTGTAAGGGATAACTTGGGATCAAAATCTCCGAGTCGGTAAAGTCTGTGATGGTTGACTGTCTGGTTCGATTGCCAAGGAAAAAGGGGACGCTGTAGCACACAGAATCCACCAGCCTTTGGAGAGTCTCTTGGCACTCGCATATGTTGTCAACTACAGCTGAGGCTTGCTCTTTTGTAAGCTCAACTTGAAACATGTGTATGGTCTTCTGGAGGCAGTCGACAGTAATCTTGAGGAGTAAGAGGCGTTGGAAACGCCATAGATTCCAAATGTTGGCAATCTGGCAAGAAGGGTAGACCTCACAGACAGACCGGTAGGTAGGAATAGATTCATCGATATCTTGACCAGGTGTGAGATTTCGCGGCTGCCAATGGTCCGGCACGTTTTGTGCCCAATCAAGAAGCTCTCTGTCGATGCGCTTCGCCTCTGCTCTCCAATCTTCTAGAACTTGCCATGACAAAAGCATGGTGCCATCTTGATTGACTAGGCGTATATAATTGGCCTGAAATTCGGCGACAGATACTCCAATAACATCAAGGACTGAGCTTGGGTTCTCGGGCGCAGCCATCAAGCGTTTGCCTCCAACCCACGAGTATGCGATGCTCTGCACGGGCCTTTTCTGGCGCATCGCCGACGAAACCTCGGTATGAAGCATGAATCTCCGAATGTATGCGCCGTTCGTCCCATTCATACGGTCCGCTTCCGCAAACTGGAGCAAAGACACTGCGCCGTTGTGGTGGACCCGCGAGGGAGAGCGAAGGTCGTATACAGCGGCAACGCTCTCGTAATGCTGCAGCACCAGCGCCGCCAGCACGGTTGCTGGATTCCTCCGCTGTACGCGGTCGTTTACTGCATTGCGCATACACGCGATGGCCTCGGTGTAAGCCTTCCGTGACAATTGGAAGCCCCTAACGCTACGCCTCCACAGAGATAGTATCCCTGAAGCGACCGCGGATATGGCAAGCGAGAGCGGCGAGCCCTGCCGCTCGGAGCAGTAGACGGGAATCAGTATCTCGAAGAGTCCCCGCGCAGATTCCAGATTGCGGCCCATGCCGACGTAATACTTGAGGAAGAAGGGCACGGAGGTATCGGGCTCGGCCAGTGGTTGTGGGCTAGGCACACAAGCCCGGTCCTGATCAGCTGAAGTGAAGAACTTGTGGGTCTGGTCTCTGAACTTTAGGTTGGTATACTTCGTTTGGTAGCCTTCGCAGTGGAGTCCAAGGCGCCGGCAATGCCAGCATTCAGGTTTCGCCTCGTCGCATTTGACACGTCGTTGTTTGCACGTCACACAGCCTTTGGAGCGTCCTCGGTTCACCATGATGACGTTTAGATGCCAGAAAGAGGGTTGGTTTTGCGACGAGTTGGCATGAGCGTCACGGTACTATTTGAGTCTTTTATCCCCGACTCCGCCAAGAGGTGGCACGGCCGGTGTTCGTCGATCATTCGGTAGTCCATATCATTCATGTCATAAATTTAGTACGGCGTCCAACAGTCCACGGCAAGTTCCGTGATGGTCGAACCAATGATCAGGCTCCGTCGCGAAGGATATACTCAATTTGGCTTAGCCTGCCGATCACTTAGCTTGCCTAAAGCCTAAACTCCATGCGGTTTAGCTTGCGAGTTCTATATAGTCGGGCTCAAGTATAAGTAGAGACAAAACATCAGTTGCGAAAGTAGGGAATCATTCAATGATATCAAGTCCGTTTTACAATTATAGGATCGTCTCTTCTTTTTCCGCCATGAAGGTCTCTTCTTCGATCTACATCGGCACGCTGTTGGCTGCATCGGCGCATAGTCACCTAGCCGATGCTGCTGCGGTGGGCAACACCAGCAACGATCAGCCCATACTGATGCTGAGCTCGGATCCGACGTTTCACTTTGATCTTCTTATCCCCCTCGCCCAAGCCACTGCTGGAGGCGGGGATATCAATCCTATTCTGGGTGCCGCCAAGAACATTAAACCTGGAGACATGGACTCTTTCACGCAAGTGTTCCTTGCACTGGCCAAGGAGACCAAGGCCGACGCCGAAAATCCGGACAATGCCTATGACCCCGTCAACGTCCGGGACACCTGGTTCTCGGCGTCCCAATACTTCCGCCGAGCCTCATTCTTCCTCGCTCGCAACTGGAGCGACCCGCTCATTGATAGCCTATGGGCGGAGCAGACCGCAGCCTTTGATAAGGGCTTAGCCGCCTTGCCTATTCCTGGTGAGCGCATCCGCATTCCAGCTCCCAAGGGAAACTTCACAGTGGAGGCCATTTGGTACGCCGCCCCCGAGCGCAAAGACGCCAACCTGCCCACGTTGATTGTCGGAAACGGGCTCGACGGCTCGCAAGAAGATTCTTACCATAGCTACGTCGCCGCCGCCCTTGCGCGAGGGTGGAATGCCATTACCTACGAGGCCCGGGGCAGAACACGGTGCGCCGAGAACAGGACCTCGGGTTCATTCCAGACTGGGAGGTTGTCGTCACTCCGGTAGTAGACTACCTTCTTTCCGAAAAGTCACAAGCCGTGGACAAAGACCGGATTGCCATTCTGGGGAATTCGATGGGCGGCTACGGGGCTACCCGTGCAGTGGCCTTCGAACCCCGACTTGCTGCAGCAGTCCTCATCGACGCGGTCTGGGACCTCTATGAAGGGTACGCGCTACAGATACCGGATGGTCTCCGAGAAGTGTACGAGGCGGGTAACACGACGAAATTCGACCGTGAAATGCTCTCGCTGCGAGAATCCGGAAAGCTCTCCACCGGCGCAGCCTGGGGCTTGGACTACGGCTTGTGGGCGTTCAACACGCACTCGCCTTCGGATTTCTTTACCCAAACCAAGCAATTCGCAGTGAAGGATTTCATTCACAAGATTAACGTGCCTGTGTTTGTGGGCGCCGCCCAGTACGAAGACAATTACCCCGGTCAGCCGGAGAGGGTGAAAGAGGCTCTGGGCGATAAGGGTACTCTACATCATTACAACGGTGTCGCTGGCTATCACTGCCAGACGGGTGCTTCGCAAGAAGTGGCAAGAACTGTGTTTGCATGGCTGAACAAGACTCTGGGCTAATGTGTGAGTTTTGCATGGGGATGCTTCGGACCTGCAGTGTATCTTAGATTCAACCAGGCCTCTGTACACGTGTTTTAAAGGCGAGAAAACAGCAACATCAAGCGGTTGAAGCTTATGAGAAGTGTGTGTGTGTAGGCGTCCAGATTGGTATAATATTATGTTCTGAGTAGATTTGATCGAATCGAGGCTTTATGTAACTATGGTAGAGATCTAGAATAACTAAAGGGTGTTTTCCCCACAGATCGGCCGATAGTAAGAGGTGTACCATAATTCTGCAGCTTCTGTTTCTCTCATTTTTTTATCGTATTATGGAGACTACCGCCAGGTGGGAGGGGAATTCAATCCACGCCGAGAAGTATCAGGATTCCCATCATTGACGCAGTCAGACAGCCCAAATAATGATGCCGATTCTACCGAAATCCGAGGCTGCAAAATGTCTCAGAAAAGGCCCAACAACAGTACTTGAGCTCAGTCGGCTACTGGTCAGTTCGTTCCGCACTGGTGGACCCGCTCGACAGCTCACGCTCAACAGGGCCAAGTGAAGCTTTTCTCAAATAAGCGTCGATCGTCCCCGGTCCGATCCTTTCAATCATTGGTCATAGTGAAGCTAAGCCCTGCCTCTCTGTTCAATACGAGGACCCCGGCGGAACGCCTAAACCTAGTGCAAAAGTACTCCGTAAAACGTAACCACTTCGAAATGCATCCATCCTGATGTAGACCACCCGCAGGCTTGTCAGTCTTGTGCCAGGAATACATACCATCGTAGACAGGACAGGTATACAACGATGTTGGATGTTTCTGACAAGACCATTGGAGGGCTGCGAGTTCACGGGGCTGTCGGAGAATACGAGGTAGTGCTGCATACGAAGCTGCAAGTTCAGCAGGCGACCGAATGAGTCTTTTTTTTTTTGGATAGTTGATGCTGCGCGATTTTCGAGTTCAGCTTCAATGTAACCGGAGACGTTAGGCGCCCTGGTCTCGTGCATTGAATAGGGAAACAATGATGAATGATCAAGACCGGGGTAGTGTTGCATTGAGGGCTCTGGCGATGTATAAATAACACGAAGAGCACCACGAAGCTCTGATTTAGTTCAAACCGCAAAGCATTGTTCTCTTCAACATCACACAGCAAACATCATTTCTACTTTCGATTGTTCGAATAAACCACTCGCAGCCATGGTCAAGTTCACCCTTCTTCCTCTCGTTGCCCTTGCCACTCTGGCAGCCGCAAACAACTGCAAGACCAGCCTCAACTACTGCGGATACAACCTTCTTGGCATCGGTATGTAGCATGCCATCTAGGGCTTGATGAGGATTACATGTATTAACAGAAGCGTGTACCATAGGAAACTACGCCGCCCAGATCAACGAAGCTTTGAAAGCCGCCGGCCAGCCAACTGATGACGCCCATATTCGCGAATCCCTTTTCCACTGCAATGGAGGAAACAACGGTGATATCTCGTGGATCACTTACTGCGGTGGTAGCTGCCAGGATGGGGGCTCCGGAAAGAGCGATTACTGCTAGATGAGTCGCCTTCTACATAGGTGCCGCATGGAGGAAAGCTGGTGATCAAACGTACTGTTCTGATCCAGCTGTCCATTTGTGTTTGGCTATGTCTGTCATTGTGTCAATTTAGTCAGCATGCAGTGTTTTATTCAACATATGGCCTGCATTAGAAGAATCAATAGCGCTTGAACCATCGAACTCCCTTTTATAGTCCGTCAATTTGACATCCTCTTTCACTTTGGATCACTCGTTTTTAGATACACTTCCTAGACAAATGAAACAGACACGTCTGTAGTATCGTAGCCCATGAGGTACCAGGAGTGAACATGGTATTTGATTGTATAGGTATTCACGCTAAAGCAGCTCATACAGTTTACTACATGGTTCTCTGATTAGTGAACTTCTCCAGGAAAATCACTCTATCATTACATGCACATATAATCGCAGCTATACTATTTGCTACATTAATCCAAAAATAAAAATAAAAATAATATAGCGTACGATCAACAGCCTGCTGAGTCCTTCCGCCAGTTATACTTTCTTACCACAGCCTTGAATGCTCGGACACAGGCCCAGCCTGCCATGCATTTCACTGCCCCAGCGAGCTCTAGTGGAGAGCTCGTCCCGTCGTCAAGTCCCTTTCCCATTGCTCGTGCCGTGTGCCGCTGGTTCTCTAAAATCTTCACCAGGACCTTATTCAATGAGAGCTCCTCTCCACGCGAATCGGTTATTATAAAGCCTGGGGTGCTTTTATTCTCCTGTGATTTATATTTAGTCAATAGCTCGGCTTTCATCGTCTCCAAAGCGACATAGAGAAACCAGTTCGAGTCAAAGGGCCCTTCCCGATGAGGCCAAGCCTGGAGAAGCTCAATCGCGCGCCAGCGGATACTGTGATCACGGCAGACCATGGCTGTGCGATATAGGGTTGGAATCACGCCAGTGTTGATGCTAACGGCTGGAGGCTCGGGGAAGCTCTTCACGATTCTTTCCGCGAGTAAAACGATTTTCCGATAATCCGATGTATAATGTTCATATGCAGGTGTATTTCCGCCCAGGAGGCATGTCTTCAGGGAGACGGCCAAGCCCAGCTGCTGTAAATAGAGCATGTCGGCCCCTCTTCGTTCTTTTGCACTAAGAGCCGAATATGAGCGGCGATAAAAGTGTTGGAATGAGTCCATGTACTGGCTTAGGCTTGACCACGCCGCCAGCTGTCCTGACTGTAGGGCTTCATAATTGGACGCTATCTCTACAGCAGACAGACCCATGCAAGGTCCGGTGAATTGATAGACCGCTCTAAGAGTGGGATTGAAGGCTTGACGGGCCTGTTCTAGGCTATCAAATGCTACACTGCTGCCCCCGCCCTGCTTTGACTCATCATCGATAGGCAGGCGGGACGCCTCAACCCCAAAGAGTGTGGACTGAATACCTAGGTGGTCAAAGGTCTCGACTAAACACGGTTCGACGGCCTCCTCCCAGGGTACCCGGGAGACTGGAGCCTTTTGAGCCGTGTACTCCTTTAAGATTTGCAGACCACTTTTAAGGTGCCTAAAGGCATCATCGTACCGTCCCCGGAGCAGGTCCAACATAATGAAGAGCAAGCAGCAGGTCAGGATGACATCTCGCAGGCGCGGATCCTGTGACATACGGCGCTTGATCAAACAGGAAAAAGCCCGACCTAGTTGCTCAAGGGCGAAAGAATTCCAAATACTATACGCTTCCTGGATCAGCAATGGCATCCCTCTCATCTCCATGCCCTGATGGACAGCGCTCAGAGCGATCACTGCATGGTACACGGCTGGCTCGGACTGGCTCATCCGGAGAACAACTTCGCGCCAGAGTGATGAGTCATAGAACTCGAGGATCATGGGCACTGTGCGGTGCTGGAAGTACGATAAACATCGTCGCTCGTCCGAGGTCATTGGCCAGGTAGGCCTGTGAGCAATCACCAGGGTCACCACGGGAACGGTGGCATCCACCCCGGCTTTCTTGGTGAGAGGCAGCCGATGTACATCATACCCATCACAAACACGACCGGTTGAGGTGCAATTCCGACACTTATCAGGGGTTTCATCGCATTTAATGCGGCGAGCACTGCAAGCAACATTTAGAACATACCCACCCCACTTTTGGCAGCTTCCCACAGCTCACCGGCAGGAACGGCATCCAGTCCTAGATTTCCTTCCCACTGTTCGACGATGACCAGTTCCCATCGATGCACCGGGGGACTGGAGCGACCGGCAGGATTTCTGGATCTTCTTCATTGAATAGCTGGCCCAGGAAAGGCAGTCCGCAGTAGACATACAGGAATTCCTTCAGGAAAAATTGCAAAGCTGGCGGGGGTGCGAGAAGGGTACATTAATTAGTACACAGCTGAGAGAGATGGTTGGGGGCGGAATGTTGGGGTGCAGCGCGAAAATCAAGGGTACTCCCTGCTGAGGGCGCCTTAACTGGCCTGACCGGCTGTCTGGAGCGGCCGCTGCCGATCCATATCCATGATTACGTTAGGAACATATATCACTGCAGATCCGGGTGCTGTCGGCTATCCAGAGTAACGTAACCGGTAAACAAGGCTGAACCACCGGTCACAAATTCTAGAATAGCACTCACAAGAGCCTCGAGTTGAGTGGCAGGAGTGATATGGGAACAAACGCGTGGGCTAAAAGATACAGGGGCAGAAGTGGCTGAATTTCTAGATTTTCTCCAGTGGAGAGGACCAAGTGGTGATGTTGACTTCCCGGAAAGGCCTCGCTGATCATCAGTCTAGTAGTCAAGCAACTGAGGGTAGTCCAGAGTTGGAACTCATTCGAATAGAGCACGGCAGAACGATACACCAAAATATGTGTCCTCTTCAGCGATTACCGGCCGCTGAGGGCTCTTTTCTAAACTGCTCTGTAAGTCCAAGGAGTCTCCATAGAGTGTGTGTGAGCTGTATGCATCTTCCTGCCAGGTCCGTAAGGCACATTGACTGGCACACTAGGGACTGGTTGTGTCAGTACAGTCGTGAAGACTTAGGGCATGACTGAGGGAGGATGTCTATAGGATAACATGGGGTCTGTGGATATTAGTTTCTTTCACATGGTTATCCTGGGAGATAGGAGAGAGGATATATTGACACGCGTACGTCGAGGTTAACACTTGCTGAGGCCTTGTTTATTTGAGCGCATTACTTTCATTTCTCATGTTATGCATCATAATCAGTCGCCGGCAACATCAGACAGCATTAGAACATAAAGACCATAAATGATCCATCACAAAACCTCAAACTGATTCCCCGCCTCACAAAGCTCATTAACCATTTTAAGACCTCATGACAACACTCTAGGCCTTATTCTCTGTAACATCAGGAGTAGCAGCCCCAGCCTTCCGCTTCTTGATGATAGTAAAGCCACCAACAAGCAGGAACAGCGCCTGCAAACCAAAGATCACAGCCAGAGTGACCATGGCACCAATAACACCAGCCACAGGTCTAGACACACCACCGCCACCACTCTTCGACGTGGCACCCGCGGAATCGGATCCCGAACCATCAGAATTGTACGACGCACACTTACCGTCCGTGTTTCCACAAACCTTGCACCACTCCTCAGTGTCCGTGACGGCAATCTTCTTCGTCTCCTCCACGAACTTCGACCACGGGATTGTGGCACTCGACTGGCCGTACAGGGGGAACTCTCGCGGTGCATCGTTGGACCCAGCGATGGTGCCGTTGTGGAAGATGAAGCGCACGCTGATCTCCGATGCATCGGGGAATCCATCTGCAGGGGAATCGGTGATCAGCTCCCAAGACATGGACGACGCATAGTCTGGGATGCCGGTGAAGTTGACATCGGCCGCGGGGAGCTGCGCGAGCCCGAAGTACGAGAGGAAGGTTCCGTAGGACCCGAACTGGACGTTGAGCTTGGTGGCACCCTTGGAGGTGATGGTCTTGTTGAGGCCCTGGAGCATTTCGCCAGCGAGCTGGGAGCCGGCGATTGCGCGGACGGTGTCGGTGGTGTTGTAGGCGAGGTTGTACTGCTCGACGTTGGCGAGCTGGAAGAGTTGCTCCAGTTGTTCGCTTGTGGGCGTGTTGGTCGTGTTGTGGATGCTGGCGACGTTGAGGTAGTCGTAGATGGTGTAGGCACTCTTGAAGTTCATCTTGTCCTTTGCGAAGGCGCCGTCCAGCATGGATGAGAGCGACTGGTAGAAGTCCGTGGTGGACTTGTAGAGGTCGTTGTACAGCGTCGAGCTGTAGTAGCTGTTGCTGCTGACCTTGGCGTTGTTGCAGCCTGTTGCGTCCTGCAGCCAGGTGTTGTCTTCGCTGTTTGTGCCGGTGGACACCAGGCTGAGCGGGATGAGCTGGTAGCCGCTCAACGGGGCGGAGATAGTCGTGCCGTTGGCCAGGGTCTCGTTGGCTGAGGACCCTACTGGCGGGTAGACACCCTGCATGAAGGCTACGCCGGAGTTTTGGAGGACTGCGTCCGAGGGCGAGGACGCGGTGAGCTGCTTCAGGTTCACGATGTCGGAGTTGATGCCCTCGATCCGCAGCGAGGAGCTCGAGTCAATGTACCGGCCGTGGTAGTAGCTACCGGCTTGGTAGACCTCGCTGTATCCGAGGTCGGTGAGCCGGGTGTTTCCTAGCACTTTGGGTGTGCGGTCTCCATGGCGGGCGAAGATGTATGCACCCAGGACCCTCTCCGCGGAAGCAAGGTCCATGGCCGTCAAGGCCAGCAGGAGGCTGGAGGGCTGGAAAGAAGGCCGCATTGTTGAGTGTGATCCCTTACGACTTATCTGCAGTAACAGGTTGGGGTAGGGCTGTCGGGAGGAAGTGAAGAAGCGGGGTGGGACTCGTTCAGTATTATTATACTCGCTAGGGTCTCACATCGACCGCGGAGACGTTATGTGATCATTATGACCCCTGCACTGATGGAGGGGTCGCATCCAGTGAAAAACTTAACTCTGCCATTTTTCTCCTCTTTTAATATACCCTGAAGGGGCAAGTTTCTACGGCGGTCCATGCCGGATGAACCTGGAAGACACGCATGGTGGAGGAAGCCATTGACTGGAAAGAAGCCAAACAGGCGTACTACTCCTCGTCTTAGTCTCTAGCCCAGTGACTCCGAATGGACGAACAGGGTAACATATGGGAGTGGGGTATAGTTAGTTACGGAAAAATTATTAGCTAATTGAGGACTATCGCTCGAAGATAATGGGCCATTGGATTAGCGTGCAGAAAGTGGAGTGATTTGTCGGCTTTGACTTCCAGGGTCTCGACAGGTCGTTATCGGAGTATGTCGGCCAAGTCCGCGGTGCCAAGGCCCTGGTGAGATCCTCAGTGTCTATCAGCACTCCGCGGGGATGCTTCTTTGGTTTGTTGTTGAGTCATACAAAGAATTGCCATGACCGAAAAGATTCCATCGTCCCTGATCGGGATCAGATAAGCCCTCTTTGCTTGCCCACCTGTTTTTATCAAGGTACTCCGGAGTTGGAGGTAAACTAGGGCTTGCTGTGACACGGGGCTAAAGGCCCGAGAGTCATTGAATGCCGACCCCTCAGTTTTCTGAGACTATTGACCAGTCCCTGTTGCTCCACAGATAGGGCCGTCATGCAGCTAATGTAGCCCTTGACCGTGTGATGTTCTTTGCCTTCAGGCCAATACGAGTTCAGACTCCTCAACATGTCACCTTCGGCTTAACTTTCTTATCGTTTCGGTGCAAAATTAACTGGTTGGTTGTAACTAAGGACGGATGCAAATGCCAACTGTGAAAACTCCCAAACTCCGACATGAAGACATCACATGACGAATTTCGATGACATGTGGTGTGAGAATGCAATAAATAATCCAAAAGAACATAGTGAAGCTAACTCGCCATGGACACACCCTTATCCCCCATAAGCTCGCATCCATTCCGTACAACTCCAACCAGACCACCGGTTTGCATGGCTTCAGAGCCTCCACCGGCAAGTCGGAATTCTATTTCAGCGAGTCCCTCCAGCCAGGTGACTCTCGTTTGTGCAGGGACTTCTAACTGCTGCAGCTGTTCACCCAGGGCCGCAAGAATATCAGCCAGGGCCAAGCCTTTGTTGGATTTCAAGGTATTCACGGTGTTGAGGCACGAAGTGACGTCGCTGGTAGCAAGAAGAGTAGTCATGATCTCTTGAATGTCAGCGGGGTGCGGTGCGGCTATGCAGTCATAAATCGTTCCATTTGTGATCAATTCCGGTTCAGGACGGGGTTGGTCTTTTGGTGCATTCTTGACAGGGAGCGGTATGCCTACATCACGTCAAAATCTCGGTCTGTAGAATTGTTTCGGTTGCACCTACTGCTTGCATGGCACGCTTGTAGCACATTCAGTGCGCGACGCATGTCACCCTTACTTAACCTGACCAAGCTGTCCACGGCCTCAGACTGAATGTTCACCTGCTCTTTTTCAATGACCAGGTCAACCAGTGACCTGATATCCTGCTCCTTCAGCGGGCTAAAGCGGAACCGCGTGCAACGCGACAGAAGCGCGGGCGATAATTTGTGGGTATAGTTGGCAATAATGCAGAATCTCGTGTTGGCGGTATATCTCTCCATAATCCGACGGAGTGCCATTTGCGCGGTTGCAGTCATGGCGTCGGCTTCGTCAAGGATGATCAACTTGTACGATGCGAGTGATGATCCACCGGAGGTCGGTTGGGGGGCCATGGAGAAGATCTGTTTCGTGCCTATACCAAGTAAGTTGAGTGTCAAATAAAGTAGTTCCTTTCCGGGAGCACACACTCGCAAAGGTCTTAATTTGTTCTCGGACAACATCAATGCCTCGATCGTCACTGGCATTCAGTTCGAGCACCATCTGGCGCATGTTTTTGCTCCCATATATCCGCCTTGCGAGCGCAAGGATTGTAGATGTCTTGCCAGTTCCCGGAGGCCCATACAGAAGAAGATGCGGTAGTCGCTATTATAGAGATTAGTGAAGGGGCAAAGTTTCTGGCTTCGCGGCGCATACATTCGCATCGACAAATTTGTTAATTGTGGCTAAGATGTCCTTGTGACCGGAAACATCGTCGAGAGTGTTTGGTCGGTACTTCTCAACCCTGGAACGAATCAGCGAGCTAGTTATTATGATAGTAATTTGAGACAAGTGCTCACCATGGCAGATTATCTTGAGCCTCGACAGGTAGGTCTGACGCAACTCTCTTAGCTTTCCCACTGGTATTATCGGAGCTGAATTGGATTGTGCTCTTGGACGGAGCATCCACGTCCATTTCATCTTCGTAATCGGACATTTTGCTGGGAGATATTCACACGAGCCTATAATTGAGTCTCAAGGGTATTTAAAATAAATATTTGCACGCAAATAGAAGACGATAGGAAATTTGCAAAGCTGCTGGATGAAGCAAGACGCGTCAAAACACACCCGCGCGTAAAGAGGTTCGGCGCCGGAAAATCATTTCATTGCTTCAGGAGCTCAGCCCTATAGGTGATGACATGCACCTCCCGCCGTCTGGCAGCACCGCCATCAACGACCTTCGACGCTACTTCTTACTCCAACAATCCTCGATAGACAGGCGCTAAAGGGGATTGATCATATCATTATATTATCCACAATGCCGGTGAGTGGTTTGCGGTCGTTAATTCGACGATACCCCGACCGTTCCCTTATCTAACGCAGCCCAGGCATACCACTCCGTCTTCCTCCAGGATCAGGGTATCCCCGTAATAGGTACGCCGCTACAACCCCTCCTGATACGCTTTTAGCAAAATGCGACACCATACCAGATCCACACACCCACGATATCCCCCAGACTGACTCCATACTCTCATCTTGGACAGGCAACTTTCCTATCCTTCCCCTCCGCACCCGCACTCGCGGCCCCGCATACACTCTCCCCCCGCTACCGCCCAATGTCCCCGACACCGAAATCGCCGTCGACAGCGAGTCGTACGACTGTGTAGACGAGATCCTGTCTCTCTTCCGCGCCAATGTCTTGTTCCGGAACTTCGAGATCAACGGCCCCGCCGACCGCATGCTCATCTACGGCACCTTGTTTATCAGCGAGTGTCTCGGGAAGGTCAGGCCGAACATGACCGCCCTCGAGGCTGGCAAGGTACACAACCAGATGCGATACACACCCGTGCTTAATGTAAATGTGCGACGGAAACACTGACCGGGATATGCATTGTTAGGCTCTTAACAACGTTGCGCTCGACTCCTTCGCCATCCCGGGCGATGCCTCCTTCCCCCTTAACCAAGCTTTCGAGCCGCCCCGCGATCGCCAGGATGCTGAGACACTGAGAGCGTATGGTTACCCTGATCTTTTGCTCCGGTGGGTCGGAAGCTAATATGCTGTGCTATAGATACCTCTCGCAGGTACGACAGGAGATTGCTATCCGTCTACATGCCAGATTATACCCCGGTGGCGTTGGCCCTTCAAAGGTAGGGGATTCCATGTATTTGGCTTTAGATTGTGGCGTTGGTCGCTAATATGTGAGGTACAGTGGTGGTTGAGTTTTGCGAAGAGAAAGTTTATGGGCAAGAGCTTCTAGGTGATGCGTTTTCTTTTGTTTGGTCACTATTCAGCGTACAAAGCGTATGAAAGCAACCATTTAAGAATTTCCGATTTCATTTTCTAAAAACTATATTGTATCCGAATTGTGATATATCTAGATATGGATTGCTTATTCTTGTTAAGGTTCAGACTCAAACGTACTGCGTAGTAGATGAGCCATGTGTATGGTGTACTGGTATTGGTATATCTTTATGCGGTATGCCGCATGGTATGGCGTATTTTTTATCATCATGGCTGGCCAGAAATATCCTAGTTTACATGGCAACAATGCAAAATTAATCCAAAGGAGCTCCTATCACTTCATCTCGACATCCACACCGCTGCCACTGTCGACTGCGGTGGTGGGCGTATCCTGTGTCAAGACCTTTCTCTTCTTTCGGCTTGGGTTGCCCGCGGCCTGAATAGTTTGTTGAGTAGGGATTACTCGGACACCGTGAAATATATAGCCCTCCGCGCCACCGCGCATGGACATTAGGGGGTGAGTACGCCCGGGGAGCACCTGCCAGGGACGTACCCGGGAGTTTTGAAGTGTGGGTGCTAACAACAGGGTGGGATCAAGATAAAATTCATCCATTAGTTCCGAAAGTTCAGAATCTTGGAGCTCGTTTTCAGTTGCGTCGTTTTGGTCGCTTGACTGTAGCCTTTGTTCTTTTAGTTGTTGCTTTCGGGTTATGAATGCCGTTTTCCTCGGTGTTGAGTAGAGATCCATTAACTCGGTCAAGGGCTCGATTGATGGAGAGTAGACTGCGACATGGGCTGAGCCGGTTAATAGTGGAACTGCATACTTCAGCACGCTTGAAGGATCCATGACGGTTGCGACGATGAGCCCGTCGAATTCTCCAGCCCGGGCTTCGTTAACGACGCTCTGGATTCGTGTCCACCTGTTGCGCTTCCGGTAATAAGCGCCTCGCTTGTTGGATTTCATGGTATATAATTCGGCCTCGGGAATGACCTCTGGCTCTTCGGAGTAGATCGGATCAGCATTAGGATCCAAAAGTTGCAGCCAGGAGAGGGTCTTTAGATGTTGGTGAAGAGGATGTGTCTCGTCGGGATTATCTAGGTTATAACCGAAGTATTTCAGGAGAGAGAGGTTCGGTTGCTTGTGTGGATGAAGGTACGTTATGCTGTTTCCGGATGCGGACATATGACCTGGGCGAGCTGGGCGGCGGGTGGAAGAATCAGTGGGTAATTGTTCATCATCCTGCGCCTGTCCTGCTTCGGTCTTCTTGGGTTCGTCGGATGACCCTTGCTCCTCATAGTCATCACCGTCATGTGGGTACAAAATTCCCATCCTCTCGGCCATCGCTGCGACTACCAAGCCTCCCGTATCGTCGACAACAAGATAGCGACCATTAGGCTTCGCCGCAATAGCCTCATCGAGAGAAACATCTCCACCATGGTGTACATTTCCCCAGCAGCCCAAGAGCCCGATCATTTCATCGCGCAGCTCCATAATACGCGCTGCGCCCTGGTCTTCCATCATATGATTCGTAAGAATGCTAACATCCATCGGAAGAACCGTGAACCGCTTCATATATTTTCTGCGCTTCCGCAGCATATATTTGGCGAGCGAGAAACTTGTCTTCTGATCCAAAGTTTGATGAGACTCTAGAAGTTTGGAGATAATTTCCCGTCCAGCGCCACCGGACTCTTTTTTCAGCGCCTCGATCTCCTCCCACGTCAGCTTCTGAGTTGATGCGTCGTCGACGATCTCGCGATTTGTGCGCATGGGAGTCCCATCTTCGTTTGTGTCGAGCTCGTCGCCTTCTCCCTCTCCCTCTTCGATCAATGTCTCGGCATGCAGCTCAGCTGCGGGAACCACACGTAGACAGCTGCCATCCTCTTCGTCTGCGTCATCAAGGATCTCGAAGGTCAGATAGAAAGGTCTCCCGATTATCTGGTTCGCGGGGAAGCTTCCGAATTTTCCCAAGAAGACTGTTCTAATTCATTCGGTCAGTACAATGCTATTTCCTGTATAACGCAGCAAACAACACTCATAGGACTAGGCAGATACTGTGTACATACGAGTCAGGCACGATCTTCTGAATCTTTGTGAACTCGGAGGGAAGCCGCAATGCGACGAATTGGTGGGGGCGGACGTAAGAGTGCATCGTATCGGACACGCAGTAAAAGATATAGGGAAAAAACAAGCAAGGATGAGTATTAGATCATGGTCTCCTGTAACACAAAAATTATACCAAATGGACCAAGAAATTCTCCGCAAAGTTAAGAATCCGCGTACGACATGCGCGGGTGTCCCAGTGCTCGTTTTACTTTTTTTGCGATAGCGCACGGACCATATTATATGATCTACACTTTGTTCGGATCAGACGTTATTCCGTCCGATGGATACAGTGTGATGTCAAAAGTTTGAACCCTTCCAGTTGATCGCCCTACATACCACTTAAGTCAACTTCAGCAAATTCAGTTGACTACCTACGGATAGGCCTATATACGCATTGGAATGGCACCTAGAAAGGAGCTAAATCCTCAGATTCGCTCACGTATATGTGAACTATCTAGTATTGGCTGGGGCCCTACTAAAATCCATCGCAAATACCCCGAAATACCGCTTTCTACTATCAAAACTACTATACGTCGGGAGCCAATTCGGGTCAACAATACTACGCGCGCGCGTTCTGGCCGCCCTCGGAAGCTTACTGAGCAACAACGTGATAATATATATGATTTAGCTCGTTCTGAACCTCATATAAAGTTGAATGATCTACTATCAAAGGTAGACCACGTGGTCAAACGCCGTTCTATTCAACGCCTATTGAGTGAAATGGGCTGCCGTAAAACGGAAGCGGCTAAGTCAACCTGAAATCAAGCCTATACACGCAGCTAAGCGGCTTGCCTTGTAACGGTGTTCGATGAGTGGCTGGTGTGGCGGTTGATAGAGCATCGTGGCTTCGCATTTGCTGCAAGGTAAGCATATTGTTTCCTTGGGCCATGCCAGGTGGATCGCCTGACTCATTCGGAGAGAATGCATTCTCATAGAAAGGATCTTTTTATCTCCTAGAATTATGATGAACTTACAAAGTCGGAGACATCAAGTTCATTCCTTGAGAAGGAGGGGAATTCCACAAAGTCTACGCACTTAGGAATCATACTTCGTCATCACAGTCAATGCCGCTAGGAGTAAAGCTAAGGCCGCTAAGCCTTTACGATACAAAATAATGTTTCATAACGGGCCAGGTCATATTCGATACGTTGCCGACTTCATAGCAGCCGTTTCAAAGCCCCATCGGCGATTGAACTGATCCAACGAGGCATTCAGTTACTTATCCATCTCCCAAAGACAGCTTTTGTTCTTCCAGCACTATCATGAATATGCTTCAATGCTACCCGAGTTATATAGACACAGCTCGGGCGCAACAGATCAATCAAGTGTGGTGCTATATCTTCCTGTGTATTGTTAATATCAATCGCCATACTAGAGACCGTGTCCAAGGTATCAGAAGACTTTTGCCTCCATTCTTCCAGTTCTGAAGAGAAGGGCTGGGTGGAATGACTCAGAATATACCAGTGCAGTCGGCCGCCGCTAAACCATCTATAGATTGTTTGTGGGTTTCCATTTGCTTTAGATCAGACCTTATGCTGAGCATCGGCCAATCAATGGTTAGGCACTCTCGGTCCACAGTATACTTGATTGTTTCCGTTAAAATGAGAAGATGTTGAGTAGAATACTACGATGCTTATATAGATCTATTTACCCCCATGTTTCAAAGTCAGGGGATTGTATATTCGGTGTTCAGAGGGACAATTTACATATAGAGAAAAGCGAGCCCGATATACCACCGGAAGGTGGCCTTCCAGGCTGGTTAGTTGTCGGGGGCTCGTTTCTTACCCTATTTGTACATTTGGCTTCTTGACTGTGACGTCTCACGGGGTTGCCGGTCATGGGCTCCATATTACATCGTCAAGGGAACACCGACTTCTCCGGGCTGCAGTTCTTTAGTGGGATGGCATGCCTACTGGGAGCATGTGTAATTGCAGCAGCAACTTATCTGCTAGGTAATCTGCTTCAAAACAGAAAGACCTGATACGGCCTGGCTATGCAGATATCAATGAAAGTATTGAGCCCGTCAGCCTTTGACGAGGCTATCATTCTAAGCAAAGCTCCGTCTGTCTCCTCCAATAACCCGGAAAGGGTAGTATGTTTTAGATCTCTTAATTAAGCCCTGGTGGAGGGGTACCATTTTCAGCTCGATATCTCGAATTGATCACGCATCCTCCAGAATAACAGACACTGTGTGGCGATCAGAATAAACACCGAAGATTGCACGATGCTGCCTATGTCCGATTATTTATGAGAAAGGAGCATCATAAGGGCCGATGACTCTTGAAAGTGGCTAAAGTGGCGGGTGGATCATGTGGTGGCTGTGGCTGAGCTACTATAATACGTAATGTGGGGTTGACGATACCGATACGGTCGAAAACAAGGGATGCCTTGATTTTAGGCAGTGAGATGGCTTGTTGGATCAGTAATTCGTGTAAGTACGGAGGAACGTTCCGACCCAAAGACTGGCCACCGGAAATTCGCCTTGTTACCCACCCAAAGCCCCATAATTAAGTTGACGACTCACTAGTCTATCCGGAAATCTGGGTGCCTGTTATCAACATCTATCTATTGTGAATTGCAGCTGCCTCGGATCCTGTCAGGAACGATTTGAAGAGGCTGTATGGGACAAAGCCATGGCAGTTATTGTCTGACGGACATCTCTCACGCAAAGTGTCTATTGGCCCCCAGCCTTATCTTGAGCCACCGTTACGTATGCTCACGAAATAGCTTTGAGCCACGTCTCACTGTCCGATCTATCATTCGCGCATGAGGGAAACGAGATTCACTAACTCGTTCCCTTTGTCATACACCTTTGATTGGTCGCTCTTAGCGTGCTCACCTTGCATCCATTAAAAGGCGCTGCCTTAGATTAAATATACGTCTGCCTTCATGGTCTTGCGCAAACGGGCTCCGCCACACCTGTACAGTCTCAACAAGGGTAATGCTCATTCTGAACCTCGCTCTGCGATCTCACAGATCTCCCCTACCTCCAAATCTGTGTCGTCTTCATCCCCGAAACGCTTAACCCGCCCGAGACGAGCTCAAAGCTCTCCACAGCCCCACCGACTTCCCTCTCAAGAATCAGTATATTCTCCTGATCTCAACACGTCCCCAGCATTTGATTTAATGCCCTTGGAGCAAGCTCAGAGGTCTCCAATTCGATCCTCACCGAGCGAAAACATGAACCCATGGGCGGATGAACTGGTGGAGCGACCCGGCCAGAACCAGCAGGGATATAACGGCTCGGGACAATCGGTCGCTGATAATGCTCCACCGGCCGAGAGTGCGGAGAATAGAAGGGGAGATCGGGTGCCGTCTATACTTGTTGCTGGTACCCAGCGGAGGATGGCCGCAAACGAATGGCAGCAGAATGGAGATGTCAACGAGGCTCCCGACTGGGAACACGTAGGAAATTCCCCAGCTCCGCTGCAGTCCAACAATCCGTTCTTGAAGCCACGCCAGCCTGAACAGAATCCATGGGATGATAGAAGCCCTCGCCCGTTCTCAGAAGCAACATCTGCATCACATGAGAGTGCAAATGCACGTTTAGGACAAGGTCCGATTGGCCTTTTCATTTATCTAAAGCATAATTTCCACGAGCGCAACACTAACGCACAACAGATGAAGGGTATATTCCGATGACAGCGCGTTTATCGCTTTTTGACCCGCCATCAGAGTCTCCCTGGGCTGGAGAACGTTCTGCAGTGCCCCCGCCGATCCTGCACGAAAACCAGTACCCTGCGCAAGATTCGCCATACCCCCCTCAATCAGCAGCTGGGGTTGCGAACGCTCAGTCTCCTTTCCAACAGCCTCAGACTACTCCTTACGACAATCCAAATACGTATCCTCCACAACCGCTTCAGCAAGGGAATCAAGCAGAGTTATCACCAAGGAATGAGATAGGTACCCCTGCTACTGTTTCTACTGCAAACACTGGGTCTTCACATGTTCTCATTGATCTCAATGAGGCGTCGGATACACATACACAAACGAACCAGCGTACGGCAGCGTCCTCCGTGTGTTCCGAAATACCCGGGGTCCAACCACATCCATCACCCTCACAGAACAGTCAACTAGGCGCTGCACCACCTCTTCCTGACCGCTCAAATATTTCACAGCCTAGTCAATCGAGTTTTGGTACTCCAGTCTCCGAAGCTGAATCAAAGAGGCAGCATGAACAGAGATCTGAAACTTATTCGATCAGGCATGTCAATTGGACTGACGCCTCAGGAAAGCTTCGCGACTGCCCGATTCTCGCTCAAAATAAAAATGGACCATGCCCATTGCTAGCGCTGGTTAATGCTCTCGTGCTGCGGTCAGGTCCCGATGCCCAGCCTCCTATAGTCAGGGCTCTACAAACACGAGAGCAGATATCTCTTGGTCTGTTAATCGAAGCTTTGTTCGACGAACTAACGACATGCTTGGGGCCGGATGATGAGCTTCCAGACATTGAAGCCCTGAGTAGATTCTTGACTATGCTCCACACGGGCATGAATGTCAATCCACAACTCACACTGGTACGGGATTCTGTTACACTCAGGGTTATTTTGTTGTACTAACAACGAAGTAGGAATCTAGCGATTCGGTAGGCACGTTCTTAGAGACTAGTGATATCAAGTTTTATGGCACTTTCGGCGTCCCCCTGCTACACGGCTGGATCGCTGAGCCGTCTACAGAGGCCGATGAAGCGTTGACTCGTGTGGCTCGGTTTTATGAAGACATCCAACTTCTCCCCTTCCGCAAGCAAGAACTTGAGGATCGTGTATTTCGAGGCGGGTCACTCACTCCAGAAGAAGAGCAGAGCATGAAAGATATTCAAATCATTCAGCATTTTACGGAGGTCGAGAATGCCACCCAGCTCAGCACATTCGGGATACAACACTTGGCCGAAAAACTGGCGCCTGGGTCACTATCGATTCTATTTCGTAATGACCACTTCTCTACCCTCTATAAACACCCACAAAACCATCAGCTTTTCACACTAGTTACAGACGCTGGGTACTCTCATCGGGCGGAAATTGTATGGGAGTCTCTCGTTGATGTCAA